TGCAGGAAATCTAAGGTTCAGGGGCGCTGACATGGAAACAGGAGCTTCGTTCAGGCTTGCTGTCTTCTTACAACAATGACTGAATAACTTATACTTGATCTCAGGATATTAAAATCTTTATCTTCAGGTAAATCCATTAATCTGTCCACATTGGATTATTTATCTCAGCCCCTTCTGTCAAACATGCTGGAAATACCAGCCCAATCTTGCATATCAGGGTCTCATTCCTCTGCCACGTCCTCCACCCGACCCAGCTGAGAGACCTGATCTCAGGGATCTGCCCCGGGGTCTCCAGTCTTTGGAAAATAAGGTGAACATTATCCAAACAGTAACACTCTCCTCCAGGACCTCCACAGCCTCTCGTGAGCATACGGGGGAAAGTGGAGGCCGAGAGAATCGATCATCTGCGTCTCCGACAACTTTTCACATGTTTTTGACTCCGTTGGTGCGGTGAGGAAGATGAAGGCAACACAGGGGACAAAGCAAGCAGGTCAGGTTTGATAAACACAAATGGAGCCATTAAGATCACATGAGGTGATAAATGCTTGGTTTGCTCACTGAAATAGCTGCGCTGCTCGTGGGCTGGTGAGCTGAACTGTTTCATTTCAGCACTTTCCCTGATTTGAGTTATTACTGCGTCACCTCAGAAATCAGAAATAAGGAGTCGGAAGGATGATTTCGGGAATACTCTACCCATGTTGTGGCTCAGGAGGTGGCGCTGGACCTCGGAGGGGGTGGGGCTCGACCCAAGGCATCGCATCACTGTTATCAGCTCCTTGGCTTCGATCTTGCCTTTCCGCTGGCGGTCGTACAGCGAGAAACACTCCTTAAACTCTGCGGACACATGAACACGTTATACACATGTGCAGGAGTCCACATTGTTGCTTTGTCATGTGGACATCACTGCTGACATCAGTGATGTCAGCAGGTCTCAGCCTGAGTGCATCACCTGCTGGGAGAAGGTGGATGATGCTAACAAGGTGCAAAGGAAACTAAAGAGCAACTTCAGCCTTCACTCCTGAGACAAACGTGTTAAACTTCACTCGCAGCTCCTCCAGAGGCAGCGAGACCGATCGGACACGCGTGCACGTCCCATCTGCTGCAAATGAGCCTCAAAGGCGCCTTTATCTTTCTGTACCAAGGTTACATCTGTTCACATACTACAGTGGATGCAAAAGTATTCGGCCCCCTTGAACTTGCCCACAAAGAGTGTGGCTGTGAGGTAGCCCCACTTTGCAGTTATTTATTTGTACAAAATGTATGATTTGCGTTCCACTTCTCACGTGTGCACCACTTTGTGTTGGTCTTTCACCTAGAATTCCAATAACATTGATTCATGTTTGTGGCTGTAATGTGACAAAATGTGGAAAAGTTCAAGGGGGCCGAATACTTTTGCATCCACTGTACATGCTATGTAATACACAGCCGTGCTTCACAGGACTCTGCATTCACTCCAGCCGAAGAACCTGTTTTAGCACCAAAAACGTGCAGTGATGTCTTTATCTGCCTCATCACTGTGGAGGAGTTTTAGTTGCGTCGCCTCATTCAGGTTTGCAACATTCGTTCATGCACAGCTCTCTGAGCTCTGCAGCAGCTCCGTTCTTCTCTTCTTCAGTCGTTCTGTTGCAGACCTGCTGCTGTGCTGGGATCTTTGTCCTGTTGATGAGCCGGTTTGGTCCAAGCTTCAGCTGTGGGACACACGGCCTCACACTGACTCTACAGAGGAGCTCATGGTCCACTCAGATCATCGTCCCTCCTCCACCGTGCTGACGGCTGTATGAGGTCTTTGGTTTCTTCAAGCTGCTGAAGTCTTGTTCTTTGTTTACATGCAGCTTTGATTCAATTCAATTTTATTCATATAGTGCCAACAACAGTCACCTCAAGGCGAAGATCAAGATGAAGAACAAC